AATTTCACAGGGTTGACATTGTGATAGGGGCTGGCTGACACCAGAAGAGCACATAGGATCAGGGCTAGAGCTCAGATCTGTACTTTGGTCCTCTTCAGTGTATCAACTAAAACGTTTACAACACTGGAAGATAGTATATTACTGTAATGGAGCATCAGTCCTTTAGCCCATAGACTCCAGATCAAAATATTTCTAGCAATTTGATCATGTAACAGGATCTTTATTTCTATAATATTTTTAATGGTATGAAAGTGAAAGAGATTCATATCTTTAAAATATTTTTTTCCAAGAGTTTAAAAAAGATCCTTTGTTCTAAGAAGCTTTTTAAAAACATCAACTTAGTTCATACCTATAACTTCAATCAAAACAGTGCCTGGAAACAAGTACTAAAATATAGATGAGACTTAATGATGTTTATTAACTCAATGCTTGAAAGAGACACATGTAGTCCTGGGAGTGCTGATGCACACACTATGACTGCAGAGAGTGAAGGAAACAGGATGGACCAGAAATAGGACAGCTGCCAAGGGATGCCCTATAGCGCTAAAGGTAGTCAGCAGGCTATGCCAAGGAAAGAGACATTTCCAAAACTCAGTCTATTACTGTATTTAGGACCTTCTAGCAATGTCATTCATGATGCAATCCATAGCTTACTAGTGCTTTTACACCTTAAGTGAAATTCGAGTTCTCTGCACTGTCCACACATTTTTGTGTCAAGTTACAACTGCCACTACACAAATATACAGCTCAGAGGTTATGGACTGCAGTCCAACTTCTCACAACAATCATCAGCCTCTCAAGATCGCCTCATCCAAATTCACTATTTTTAGATTAGTACAAGGCAGAGAAGCTACCAGGGCAAAGGAACACAACATGACACAGGTAACACTAAAGAACTTCTCGGGCGTGACACCAGGGGTTTCTCTTGACCCTCATCCCTGAAATGAGTCGAGAGTATTCAGGCTGCAATAGTCAATCAACTTCTCTTTCTTACCTTCCAACTTTGAGTCTAACCTTCCTGTCCATCTTGGTGCTCACAACCTCTCCATCTCCCCTGGGCCCTTATGTACCTTACAGGAACCACTCAGGTTCCCACACATAGAGGGACTGCAGTTATGGATGTATCCACTAAAACCATATTGTCTATAGCATCTACTATGCAACAAAATTTCTCTCCATCTTCTCATTCTCCACCATGTGCAAATACATCGTTTGTCATAGCTGGGAACAGAAAAAGGAATTTATGCTACTTTTATGCACCTTTTCTGCTCTTCTGTAGTTACTACCTCTTATCCTCTTTTTCTTGACCTCTCATTTTCTTGATGACAAGACAGTGCACCTTGTCATTCAAAAAGGAAAATCTTCAGGTCAAGAAAACTGTGTTCGTGAACTGCTACATATCAGGTTTCTTAGTTGTTTGGTAAAAGTAAGAATTCTCCTGGTCAGGTAGCAATGGAGTAAATCAGCACATATGTTGGGATTCACAGGAAAGGGCACTGCCTCACTGAGTGGCTACAGCTATTATTGGTAATGGTTTTTCAAGAACTCTCATATTAACATCGTACCATGGCAAGCAATCTAACAATCTCTCAGGATGATCAGTCCAACAATAAAAAGATACATAAAACAAATTTGCCAAAATGAAGTCATGCATGTCCTGAAATGAAGTATCAATCTACGGAATTGCTCTGAAAGGAGATAACTGACTAATGTCCTTGACACTGGGTTTCCAGTGCTCCTAGAGCTGCATAAGAACCTATCACAAATGTCTTCTTTATGAAGGTCAACTGCACTATAGTGCATTTATGACCAGTCATTTTCTGTGTAGTTTCCAGATAAGCATTTGAGCAGACCAGGCGTTTTTTCCTCAATTGGCTATTCTCAGCTAAAAAATTGTTTCAGAGATCCTGAGCAATAACATAGCCCTTGGGATAAAAGCCTTTCTGCATTAGCCATGTGACTGACACCACGAATGATTACATCCAAGCATCAAATTTAATGAGATTTCTACAAAAATCAGTGACATCTGCATAGCACTCATGTCCTGGCTAGCTGTCACACATTTGCCGTCACTGAGGCTTTTGTCCTTTATTAATCCACTTTCAAGAATGCCTGCTGTTGGAAAATGTTTTTTAGCAGTCACCCTGCAGACTATGTTAGAGCACACATCTCCGAAAGCATAATGACACATTGTCATGCCTAGAAATGCATTTAAAAGGTTTAAATAATATGAGAGAACTGTGACAACAAAATAGATCGAGAATTTATCAGGCAATGTCTGCATAAATATATTTACATCCTTTAATATAAACAAGATCTTGCTCTTTTGTTATAATACAGTGGCTAGAAACTCTTTAACACCATTCAGAATGCATGGGAGAAATATTGTTGTAGAGGAAAAGTACTAAAATATTTCTCTTTAATTTTGTTTGTGCTTGGAACCATGATATAATTCTGGGCCTAGGGCTCTAACCCAGTAAAAGCATATGATTGTATCAAAACCCCAGCTTTCCTCTAAACTTTCCCTCATGGCTACAAATAAAAATTTCACTAATATTTCCGTACACCAACAGATAGCCTGAAACAGTAGAGGATGGAGACTGAAGAATCACCCTATTTTATTAAATTAGCCCCAGGACTTTCTATTGAGACAAAAGTCTGACCTGGTGCTTCCCATCAAAGAACAGCAAACACTTGGCAGAAAGGCAGGAGTGCAGAGGACATATCTTTCTGCCATGTTTTCCCCCAGGAAGAAAACAAGACCTTTCCACAGCAAGTGAAGATGGGACTCCAAAAGGCCAAGAGTTGCAAGGTGTCCAAGGAGTGGCTCCATCTTATTGCAGTCACATTTGCAACTCAATGAAAGACATTGAGTCAAACCTGATGAGCGAGGAGAACAAGGGAATACTGGAAGACACTGTTCTTCCTATGGCCCAGGGCCAAGGAAGGCAATATTCTTCCATCATACATCCATAGTACTAAACTATACTGAATTGAATATCTCGAATTTCAAACATTTATTTCTCTCTTGTTGTTATTATTTCTAAATGTCATATATTTCCAACACTTTAATGTCAATTAGTTGCTTGTAGGTCATTGCCAAGCAAAGAGAGGCAAGTGAATAACATAAATTGCTTTCTCATTTATAGGATTCAATTCCTCTTTCACTCTGAAGATATTGAGCCCAACTATTACAGAACTCTGATCCTGCTGCTGTTATAGTTCATGTAAACACGCTTTTGTTGAAGGTATATCAGAAGAAACATAAAGCTGTTTGCAGCTGCAAATGACAGAAAATCACAAAAACTAAAAATTTTTCAGTTAATGGGGTTTTTTTAGCATTTGATGTTCAGATAAATTTGTTTCTACTCATGGATTGAGGAATCTAGCCAGCAAAAGATTTGATTGCATGAAATAGCACTAAAATATAATAATGCTGAGCTCAGTAGTGCAGCAATCCTGGCTGCAACTTACACTTCAAATGGAGGCACCAGACCCCAGTGTTTGCCATCCTGATCTGCAGGTGCTGAGCTCTAATAGTTCAGCAAGTGGGACCACACAGCTCACCACAACTCATGGGAATGGAGATATTCAAAGGTCTCCCTCCAGTACAGCTGGAGTGATATGATACAAAAAAACAGCATTGGGGTCCCTCAAAGTGTAGAAGCAATGACTTTCTGTTAATGAAGTTTTGTTTCTATCACCACCCTTCCTCCAGTTCCCTTTTGGGAGAACATGTCCATTAGTGCATTTATGATTTCACAGTCCTCCACCTGTGTAGGAGCAGAAGCAAAACATCAGCCTTCAACAACAAGAGGATGGAAAGAATCAGAAGCCCCTTAGATGCCAAAAAAATCCAGATTTTTCATAAATAATTATAGCTATTAATAATACGAATATTTTACAGAAGTATTAAGTCCTATCCTTCAGGACTTATACGACATTTTAAGTATAAGAAACCACAAAAGAGCTGTTTATTTTGCATTTATCCATGACAGAGACTCACATTTTCCCATAAACCTCTGGTTAAAAACAACTGTGGAAGAGGATCTTGAACCAGGAAAAACTTACCTCCAATTTACTTTGGAAAGTGCAAATGGACTATATTTTCAAACACCAGTAATATCAACTATCGAGTGGAATTAAATAAGAATATTATGGATCGGATTGGGACATTATAGCCACATTTTTCTTTGCAAAGTCATTTTTGTTGCCAGAGACCTCACTTACTGCAGCAGTCACACAGCCTATACAAATGGTGATTAGCATATTCACATTCGGTGCAGTTAAATGGAATAAATAATCCTTTAATTTTCAAAGTAAGAAGTCGCAGAGGGTTTTTTGTCTGCTTTTAATGGTCCCATAGTAATTTTCAGCTTTCAAAATATTTGGGCTTGGGTTTTTATTTTGTTTTTAATAGTTTTTAATCAAACAGTTAATGGATCTCCAGTATGTTAGTAATCCAGTCAGCTTCCCTGAATGAGTGAATTTGAGAAAAAGGATGAATGCTGTATTTTTGATTCAATTATTAGTAACATTATTGTCTTCATGAAACACATGCACTTGTGCTTCATTTTGCTTACTATCTGTCTTTCCTGTTGACAAGTCCCACACAAAGAGAAGATGTGATTGTGACTGTTCAGTCTAACGTGGATGCTTCCTAAAGTTGCTCTTTTTTTCCTCTAATTTTAGGTGCAGAATAATTATTACGGAGTTTTTGCAGTGTTTTTTAATCTGTGTCTATTTCTAGTTCTTCTGCTGTCACTCTGTCAAGTTAATTGACATTCCCCCATGCAGCATTTAAAGAATAGCAACAATTGCAATTTGCTATCAGAAATCGTGGAAATGAGATATCTCCATGATGTAGCACTGTGCATTGTAACTCTTGTATTTCATGGACATTGAACTCCACTGGGTCCCCACAGAATGCATCTCCTGTATTATTGCTTCTCATCCATGATGATGGTGAAGTCTGTTTGATTATTCCGCTTTATTTCTAGGTCCTCCTGGTCCCCCAGGGGTTGTAATAGTGGAGGAAATTACAGACACCACAGCAACACTCTCCTGGAGTCCTGGGGCAGACAATCACAGCCCTATCTCCCTCTACAATCTGCAAGCACGCAGTCCATTTTCTCTTGGCTGGCAGACCGTAAGAACAGGTGAGAGAAAGTTTAAAACAGCACAAGTAGACTGTTCTAAACTCCTGAACATCACAATAATAACCACTGTCAGCTACAGAAACAGATACTCATAAGAGAACAGTGACAAATCAAAAGCACTGATTTTTGGGGTTTTTTCCTTCTTTTCATTCCTTTTGTGTTACTTAGCAACAGCTCTGAAAGGACAGCACAAAGACACCAGCCATGATGCGTCTGTGAATAAGCAGAAAGCTCTCCCCTAAACTCTTCAATCTGTGTCTTTTCAGGAGTACTACAGTGCCAAAAACCTGGCTGCGATTTCTGACTTATTAGATCCTTGATGTCGATCATTTCTAATGACCATGTTGTATCACGAAGTCCACTTACTATTGAGATCCTGCATGTGTGCTCCAGGTTTCTGGTTGACCTTCACATTTCTTTACTCTCTACAGTTCCAGATCTGATCAGTGGTGACATGGAGTCTGCTATGGCTGTGGAACTGAACCCTTGGGTGGAGTACGAGTTCAGAGTAGTAGCAATGAATAAAATTGGGACTGGAGACCCAAGTGCACCATCACGAGTGATCAGAACAAATGAAGCAGGTACGGAAGAGATAAACAGGTTATTTTTGCATCACTATCAGAAACAAGGACTATTTAATACAATAATAGATCTAATCTCTTCTTGCTGGTATACACCTCTGTGTTCAGTCATCACTGTTCCAGGGTTATATTATTTGTAATGGGGATCCAGAATATTTTTTAATGTACAGAAATTTCAAATAAAACCGTTCCCTGCAGTCTTATTCCATCTGTCCTAGTTTTCATCTTCCACTTAAGCTATTGCTGCCTTCCCTCTGACAGACTTCCTGTGCTCTTCAGTTCGAGGCTGCTTGTAAGTGTCTTCAAACAACTGCTCCCAAGCAGCCTCTTCCCCCATATTTTAATAACTTCTCTCATTGAAGGTAGTATAGAATTTTTTTAGCAAGATAGGAAAGCCATGAAAAGCTGCTTAATTTGAAATACCTTTTGTTCTAAGTGGTTTTTTGTCATTCACGCCATGAATAGTTATTACATTTAAATAAATTTCATTATATTTCTAATAGGATGGTATCATGGGAGACCAGGAAAAAAACCGTTTTATATCCTATTTGGGTCTCTTGAAATTTACAATGGTCTCATAAAGCTTGGAATCATTGACAGTAACTTGGGTAGAATAAAGGGAGATAAAGAAGAACTGGGAATCTGAGAAAAATCTCTAGGCAGCTAGAAAGACATGTTTTAGCAGGCAGAAAGAGATAGAGATAGGATTTGGACAAAGCCTCAGTAGAGAACTCCATGTCAGAACAATTTCAGATCATTCTTCATTCTACTTCATTATTTAGGAGGCCTAGATAGATTTTGTTTGTTTGTTTGTTTTGATGTTTCTTCAGCTGAATAATTTTTAAGTAACTTATCGGTCTTACAAAATAGAAGAGAGACAAATTCAAAGATTCACTTGAATTTGAAAGCATAACTGATTGTCTGGTTATAAATATTGTACACAAATACAACAATTGTGTTACACACAGACTTCTCATTCAGGAGAATTATAAGAATTATGAAAATTACAATGCCTTTCTCATTCAGAAAGAAATTCTTACTTTATATAAGGTAAGAATTATATATATATATATAATCCACATATATAATCCATATATAGCTATAAGATATGTTAATCTTATACTTCAGATCCATAATTTGCCACTCTGTGTCTATGCCATCCATAAACATTCATCGAAGAATGTTCAGGTTGATTTTCTTAGACCGAATCAGAGAATCAACTGAATAATTGGGGCAGAAGGGGATTTTGGAGGTCTCTGCTCCAGCCTTCTTCTCAAATCTGGATAAACTGTCTTCAGAGCAAGCTGTTCAGAGTTTTGGCCAGTTGAGTCTTCAAAACCTACAAGGACAGAGATTACACATCCTCCCTGGGCAACCTGTGCCAGCAGTTAACTAACCTCACCGTGATTTTTTTTTTTTCAATATATACAGTCAGAACTCTTCCAATCTCAGTCTACGATCACTGTCTCTTGCTCTTCCACCCTGCACCACTATGAAGACCTCATCTCTGTCTCCTCAGTGACCTTCCTGCAGGTACTGAGAGCAACTGTTAGGTTACCTCAAGCCATCTCTGCTCCAGGCTGAACAAGCCCAGCTCCCCTAGACTCTCACAAACCAAGTGCTCTAGCCCCAACATCCCCATGGCCTCCCTGAACTAATTGATCAATATCTGTCTCATTGTGGCACCCAAAATAGGATGCACTATTTCAGATGAAGTCTAACAAACCTATTTTCAGTTATAAAAAGACATATTTATTTTTTCTCTGTTTTAAATGACTGTGTAGTTGCTAGCTGGTATTAAATCTCACTGTACAACCACAGAACTGCACTGGATTTGATTCCCATTCTTACATGGTGAAGCGTACTTCCTTTCCAACTCTCCCCCTCATCTTCTTCAAGCTCCCTGCAGTGTAAAACTTGATACCCTTACAACAAAAGCTTCAGATGCTCCGTATTTTGTTCCATTAAGAAAAGGAGGAAATGAAAATGAAATAAAAAACACAAGTTACTTTGATCTCAAATGATTTTCAAAAAAATACCCCTTATTTTGCTTTTCTTTCCTTAATTTTCATTGGTAGTTCAAATTCTGCTGGACCCTAATGTTTGAAAAATTTCCCTGTTTATTCAGATAATATATATCAGAGAGGACAAAAACATTCTGGAGAAAGTCTATCCTATGATAGGTTTTACCCCGGGGATTATGCTCTTTCAGACTGAGGAAATTTTTTCCTGTTTTTGAAAAGATGGTTCACTATTTTAATCGACCCAATGCATTTAAACTGTGAGCTAATGTTTTTTTGACAAGTTTGAAAATACTCAATTTTATCTAGCTGTCATGTTTGTAGGCTTCTTCTTTTCCAGGGTTTACGAAAGAAAGCCTGTATTTGCTAAAGCATATTCTTAAAACTCAGGTGACAGTCTTCTTCATGCACATCCATTTTCAATATTCATTTGGACACTCATTGCTACTTTACCTCTGTAAAAAGGAATTGATAAATCATGATACTGATCAGTAAAAAACAAAATTGTGGGAAAGACAAAGCATGCAGTGTGCAATGTATTTTCATCCAGTGCTTGGTGTTAATTGCTGGGTAACATTCCACTGTTATTGCCACAGGAAAGAACAGAGTCCTTAACTCAAGTAGCAAGGATCTGTACTTCAGTTCTGATAAACAGCACTGGAGGTGATAATAATGCAAGTCTTCTTGAGTAATAAATTAGTAATGTATTAATTCAAATAGGAAAAAGGCCATACTAGATGTTCACTTGCACTTTCATGTTCCCAGTTAGGAATACCTTCTTTTGCTACCAAAATTACAGCTTCACAAGTATCACAGTAGAAAAGAGTGTTTTCTAGCACGGCACTGAAATCCAGATAGCTGCCAGTAAAACAACTGAACAGCTTTGAGAGAAATTGAAGATTAATTTATCTGGTGTGCCTGCTTAATATGGCATAGCATAGCATAAGCCTGCTGATATCATCTCAGTTTTGAAAGACTTTTCTTTAAGAAAAGGTTTGGTTTCTGTTTCAGTTGCAAATGGTTTGGGGGTTTGGAGTGGAGTGGGTAATAAAAAAGATAGATGCAGCCTCTGTTTTTTATTCTATAGAGGAAGTGAGGAGATAGAATAAGAAATAATTTTCCAAATCATTAGAATCTTCATAGAGTTGTGAAGTTGGAACAATAACACAATGGACTCTGCTTTAAACAAAGAACTAACTAAATAAAAAAAGCCCTAACTGTTACACATGTAATTCTTTGAAAAATGGCATGCTGTTTATAATTTGTATGGTAGTCTTGAAATGTCAGAGGTTTCATGATCTGCTTCATTCAGGCAGCCACTTCTTCCCTCATCTCCAGATATTCCTGAAGTCCCAAGCCTGTTACATCTAATTTCTGAAATGCTTTTCACTGATTTTGTGAATTATTACCCTTGGTATAGTTTTCAGATGCTGAAGAGACAGGAAACTAGTGATAGTTTTCATTGGGTTACAACAGGTTACATACGGTTTTTCAAAGTAGCACCTTATTGCCTATCTTAGTGAACCCAGTGACCCATTATTTTTCGGGATCTCTCTATTACTAATTTTTTACCTGAAATCTTCAAGGGAAGCTATTAACATGTCTATTAACATGATTTTCACTTCTATCACCATAGTTCTCATTTGTTAAAGGGCATCTATGTTAAAGGAATGCATATTTCAGAAAGACAGAGTAACCTGGATATTTGCAGTGATGGTAGATGTGGCTCACAAGTATAAACAGGCAGGTTGCCCCTGCACTAGGTGGAAATGCAGAAACAACCATCTCCCAGCTGAGAAACTGACTGTGACTCCTGTTCAGGTAAGAGCTGGGACTCACCAGGCTGAACGTGGTTGCCTACACAATCCACAGAGATAGAAAATGTGTGATTCTGCTTCCATTATCTCATACTTAAATAGAAATCTGCATCCGTAATTTAATGGTACGAGCAAATTTGACTAGAGACTAAAGTCTTCATCCATGCCCACACCTCACCTATTTTATCACTTCTTCACCAAGATAGTAACAACATCTTATATTAGTCCATTATCTAAAAATACCTACGGAAATAATAATTCGGATGGTATAAAGAAATCAGAAGAATAATAAACAGGTTTCCACTTGCTTTAATTTTTTAATTGAACTCTAATCTTGTCACTTAGTTCATATTTAGATAACATTATTGCTTTTCGTAGCTACTTTCATTGTAATGGATAATATTGCAATTTTCTGGCACATCTAACTTACAGCCAGCTGCTGCATCTCTGTCAGTTCTAGCTTTGATATATATTTTACAGGCCCACAAGGTGCAAAGAGCCAATAATACGAATTTAAACATGTCTAACATTCCACTAAGACAGTCAGGGCACTTGAAGCCAGGGGGCAAAACATCAATTATATTATCTATTCATAGGGAAACATGGGGATAGAGAAAATTGAGTAGAATCAAAGTTTAACCTGCTAATCATGCATGCAAACTTGATTTTATGAGGTAACAATGTAATGCACTCTATTAGCAGCAGACTGTACACAGGTTTTATTTTTAATAAGTCCATATTTTCCATTAAGTTGCCCTTATTTTCAGCTAGAATTTCTTCCTAGCATAACAAGAAATGTCTCTGTCTCAGGAAAAAATGTTACCTAGTTTAGATTGCTTTATTTTCAGGGTTTTTTTATTGTTGGGGGTGCTGTTTCATTTGTCATTTGTATAAAAGAAGTTTCAGCTTTTCCCATTATCATAATTTTTACACAAGAAAAAAATTGATAACCTGCTGTATTTGTGACATTTGCAGATGATGACATGGGCTCCTAAAGCCTTTGTAGAAAACGTGGGTTTCCATGGAGAAAAACAAAAGAGAAAGTGGACTGTAATTATTGACTGCGTTGTCTACAGGCTACTCAAACATTGGAATGCAGGGTCAAATTAATATTGGCAAAGAAACCCAATGTGTGTGCTGCTACAGGATGTACCAGAAAAGC